GCTGCTGTCTGTGTGGCCTTCTGAGTAGCTTCACACTCCTGCTTTGTTCCCTCTCTCCTGCTGCCATCATTACTCACCCGGGCTGCTGCAGGAACCTCCCACCTGGACTCCCAGCTCCCACTCTATTCATCACACAGCAGCCAGCAGGGTTTTTGAAGCACAGATATAACCATATCATGTGGCTACCCATTCTAGTGGTCTCCCCTTGTACTTAGGAGAGAGACCAAATCCTGGAAAGGATGGTTTGATAGCGGTCTGGGAGTTGGGCTGGTTGTCATCCTGTTTGTTCTCAGATGCTTTCTCTGATTTTGCCCTTCTCTGATCTGTATCTCTGAGGGCTTGCCCCATGCAAGCTCTGCAAACATTTCTCAACCTCCCTTGCTCTTTGCTTCTGGCTAGGCTCTGCCAATGGGGACAGACACCAGGGCATTTCTCCTTGCTCTCCTGTTCTCAGCTTCACATGGGATATCTGGCAGTGAATGCATCTCCTCTGATATTTCGGCTCCTACCAGACAGCCCCTGTGTGACTTTCCTGTGGCTGCCCTAATGAATTATCACAAGGTATTGTTACAAAAACAACAAAATATTTTTGATTACTTCAAATTATTATATTAAAATATAAAATGTAGTCAACTGTTTTTGGAAGAGTAAAGACCACTTTGCTTTACCTTCAATAGAGGGCATTTCTACTAAAAGAAAAAAAGCCAAAAAACTTTAATTGTGAAAGGATTCAAATCAGAGGTTGAGGAATAATCTGGGTTCTTAGGATATCTTAATGCTAACACAATAGTTTGCTCAGAACTTACACTGCTCAAAATGCCTTCTCTTTGTTTCTGAGATCATATACTATCACATTATATTACTTGGTAATTCTTGATCTTCACATCAATGTGCTGTTGGGCCATGCAGAGAATTGTGCAGTTTAAAGGACAGTCACTTTCTTACTAGAAACCCAGCTTTTCTGTTTTCCTTGGACAGTTAATCTTAGGCTATATTTTCAAAATTAAAAATCTCACAGGCACCTTTTTTAGGAAGAAAAGCAAACTCAGCATGCCTTATTACTAAATATTAACCTAAAACATTTTTTAATGCTGTGTTTCAAATGTTATATAATTTGAAATGTTATAACATTTTAGGTGCATTTCAAATGTTAGAGCATTTTAGAATTAGGAACGTGTGCACCATAAATAATACTTTTAAATGGTGCAGAAGACCTAGGAAAAAAATTTTTTTTTCTTTTCTCCTGCTTATAAAATTGGTCATAAAAAAACTCACTAAAATAGTTTATTTGCTTTTTACTATCATATAAGTTATGATTTTTCAATCCAAATAAAACCACTCCTGTCCATGATGGAATACAGTAAATCATTTAGTTGCAATCATTTGTTTTTAGAAATCTTGCATGTCATTCAATGACTCTGACTCCCTGTCTTCTGACTGCGTGGGTACCACAGCTTTCCAAAGTCATAGGCAAGTGCTAGTTGGCTGCTCTCTATGAGGGGTGGACACAGTAACTCTTCTTCTCCTGCATTGCTTAGGTTTCACCCTCCCTCCAACCTGCATATTAGAAAAGCATTTTTGGGACCAGGTTTTGATGATGGATGGTCAGTATTTAAAAGCTAATTCTTTTAGCTCCCTGTGGTGGCTAATGCCTGTAATCCCAGCAATTTGGGAGGCAGAGGCAAGAGGGTTGCTTGCGCCCAGGGGTTCGAGACTAGCCTGGGCAATATGGTGAGACCTCATCTCTACAATAAATTAAAAAATTAGCCGGGCATGGTAGCTTGCACCTGTAGCTCCAGTTACTTGGAAGGCTGAGGCAGAAGGATCACCTGAGCCCAGCAGGTCGAGGCTGTGGTGGCCATGATCATGCCACTGCACTCCAGCCAGGGTGACAGAGTGAGATTCTGACTCAAAAAAATAAATTGATTAATAAATAAATAAAAGTTAATACTTTTAATCACTTTTTAGTATCAGCCATGAAAATTCTCTCAAGAATTTACCCAAGAATCAACATGTATTATTTCTTGCTTGATAGATGATAAGATTGAGGCTCAGAGAAGTTAAGTAACTTACTGCAGATCACACAGCCAGGACTTGCTAAAGCTGGGATTCAGATCTCCCAAACAGTGCTGAACTTAGTGCTCATAACCACTGGGCCATGCCTCCAACTTGAAATTTCTGGTACTTTTCCTCACTTGGCGCAAAGATTCCTGGCTGTGCCCAGCACTTGGCTCAGCTTCTAAGATAAGGATTCGGTGCTATTCTTTAATTGGACCTACAATTACTGTTTTATTAAATTGGCAAAAGCTCTGAATCCTATTGCTAGCAACCACATAAAGTAGTCCATTTTAGTTAGACTTCTCTATATTATCAGGAGGGGAAAATCTTAAAAATAATGATACACTGTTTAAAATTGCCAGTAGGCATCATACTGTCTTTTTATAACTTCTAAGTTTTATGCCAAATATTATTTAAATTTGTTTTCCCCTACCAAAAAAAAAGAGATAATTTTGATTCTAAATGCCAGATGTGGTGGCTCATGCCTGTAATTCCAGCACTTTGGGAGGCTAAGGTGGGAGGATCACCTAAGCCCAGAAGTTCAAGACTAGCCCAGGAAGCATAGTAAGCCCCTGTCTTACTATAAATGAATCAATAAATAAAATAAATTCTGTTTTCATCAGTCAGATAAATTTTAATTAATGAGAGAGTGAAATTTTTATGCAGATTACCAATGCTATTACTGATCAGAAAACAAGTGATAAGAGAATTTCCTCTTTTTTATGAATGATAAAGTTACATAACAGTTAAGTCTGTGCTGTCCAATAAGCTGCCCCATGTAGTTACTTAGCATTTGAAATTAGGCTAGTTTGAATTTAGATATAAGTGTAAAATACAAACCAGATTCTGAAGACTCAGGACACAAAAAATAACGTAAAAAATATTACATTAGCAACTTTTATATCAATTACATGTTGAAATGAAAATACCTTGGATACATTGTACTAACTAAAACATAACTATTAAAGTTAATTTCAGGGCAACCCCCTCAAGTCCCCTCCCACTGTGGGAGCTTTTCTGTCCTCACAATAAATCCTGCTTTCAGGGAAAAAAAAAGTTAGCTTCACCTGTTTATCATTCTAATGTGGCTACTAGAAAATTTTAAACTATGTATGTGGCTTCAAATGTTTCTATTGGACAATGCTAGCTTAAGTGATTACTCTTTTTTTTTTTTTTGAGTTGGAGTCTCACTCTGTCACCTAAGCTGGAGGCAGTGGCATGCTCCCGGCCACTGCAGTCTTGACCTGCTGGACTCAGGCAATCCTTCTACCTCAGCCTTCCAAGCAGTTGGAACTACAGACGCGTGCCACCATGCAAGTGATTACTCTTGGATTAAAAAAAAGTATCAGTGCGCGTAGAATCAAGCAACTCGCAGCACATGTTCATTAGTGAGGCAATTTTTCCCCAGTGATAAGGTTAAATATCTGTGTGATGACAACCCTACCACTTTCTCAAGGTTCTGTCTGCCCTGTTAGATTGCCATTACGTTCAGAAGAACCATGGGAAAAGGCGTTTCCTCATCTGAAGAAATTCTCGGCCTGATTTTTCACTACGGAGAAATGTGGACCCGGGATAACGTATCAAGAACAAGAAAGTACCAACATTTCCCATGTGGGTTTCAAAGCATGATTCCGAGCAGGGGTCACCCATGCAGATCACCCGTCTCTATGACAGAGGTGATCGTTTACAGCGCAGCAGTGCAAAGTCAAAAGGGCACCCACGAGTTCATTACATAATTCTTGATAGCATGAGGCCAAGTGTGTATCTGCTCCGGGGGAATGGTCAGAGGCTCGAACAGGCAGACCGAGGCACTCATGACCGTGTTTTGACAGAGTGTGCACTAGCGGTTGTTTGTTTGGAAAAAGACTAGCTTTCTTTCCCTCCTTCCTCTCTCTCTTTTTGCCCTTCTAAACACTCTGGCATAATACTGAATGACTTTGTTTTTAAGCTGCCTTAGCCTTGCTTTGTGAAGAAAAAGCCTGAGTATTCTTTCCCTGTGGGACACAAGTTGTTATTTTTGGAGCAGAGGTTCTTAGCCTGATCTCTGTCTAAATCAATTTCTGTCTTGGTGAGGCCGTGGTCTGTGACAGCTGCGAGTGTCCTCCGGGGAGGGAAGCTTCTTTGCCTCACGGAGAGCACGGGCCAACCTGTCGAGGGGTCACGTCTGAAGCTTCATCGCTCTTGGTCTTCACAGAAAGGCTACTCAGCATTGATTCTGCTCTTTAGATTGTGCCCTGGAACAATCACGAACACACGCTGCGAAGTGGCATGCTTTCTGTCTTTGGGGTCATGGAAAATTCTTGTCTCATTCAGAGCCCAGACACTCCAGGCCTGCTCCCTCCTTCTATTTAGGGAATAAGGCCTTTCCTGCTTAAATTGCTTCATGGTATGTTTTGGGTCGAGGTGACTCCCTCCCCCTTTTTTAACCCAAGGTACTTCGGGTCTCAGACTCCTCAGAACTAAAAAAGCCACAGCTGGGAGATGTCAGGGTGGACATGGCTGCAACTGAAGTCCCCAGGGCCTCTGGAAACATGACTCGGGACTCAAAAGCTCAAGCATCCTCTTCTGTAAGCTGTTCTTTGTGTCAGAGGCTGGACCCAAGGATTCACCATTCTTCTTCGTGGTCTGTTCTTCCTAGGAGTTTGCATAGCTTGAACCTGGCAGGAAGCATGTAAAATTAGAAACAGTTTAAAACACCTCCATCAGCACCAAATAAGATGACAACTTATTATTACTCCCCTTGAATGCGGTGTAGCTCAATATTCAGGGAACAGGGGTGTGCGAGAGAGACCCCATGAGAAATGGGCTAAGTGGGGGAGGTGGCAGTGTTTCTAGTCGGCTTTGGCCTTGGCGGTGAGAGCCTGAGACGGTAGGTGCAGTGGCTGGCGGGCTATACATAGCTAGCCAAAGCTTCTTACAAGAGAAACCTCTTTGGTACCCTCCACAGTCCCACCCGCAGGCCAGGAGACTCGTTGCAAATCCCCTGGAGTCACTCAAACTTAGAAGAGACACCAGCCAGCCGTCTCCATCCTTTCTTTGCTCTCTGTCCCTGGAGCACGTCCCTCTGCTCAGCCATGGTGGACATGGGGGCCCTGGACAACCTGATTGCCAACACGGCGTACCTGCAGGCCCGGAAGTCCTCGGAGGGTGACAACAAGGAGCTGCAGCGACGGCGCCGGAGCCTGGCACTGCCCGGGCCTCAGGGCTGCTCAGAGTTGCGCCAGACGCTGTCCCCCACCTTCCACAGTCTGTGCGAGCAGCAGCCCATCGGCCGTCGTCTCTTCTGGGACTTCCTGGCCACCGTGTCCACCTACTGTGAGGCCGCAGCCTTCCTGGAGGAGGTGCAGAGCTGGGAGCTCGCCGAGGAGGGGCCCACCAAGGACAGAATGCTGCGGGGACTGGTGACCACTTGTGCCAGTGCCCCGGCTGCTGGGAACGCACACCCCTTCCTCAGCCCGGCTCTGGTCACCAGGTGCCAAGCGGCCACCACTGAGGAAGAGCAATCGGCCGTGGTGGCACTGGCCAAGGCCGAGGCCATGGCCTTCTTGCAGGAGCAGCCCTTCAAGGATTTCCTTGCCAGCCCCTTCTACGAAAAGTTTCTGCAGTGGAAACTCTTTGAGATGCAGCCAGTGTCAGACAAGTACTTCACTGAGTTCCGAGTGCTGGGCAAAGGTGGTTTTGGGGAGGTAAGCTCTCTGAATATCCAGGCTGGAAGGCGAATTTAGAGCATAAAGGGGGGTTGTGTTGCCTTTTCTTTTTAAATCTTTAGGGAACGTAGCACTAATTTCAGTGCCAAGGGATTCCTAACCCCCCTCCCCTCATCCCTTCTGGTCACCATGCAAAATAGAATACAAATGGCATAAGAGAGACAAGCAAAATGTAGACCTGGCAAAGAATCTCTATCATGGGGTCTACATCAGAAACATGCCAAGATGGCCTGGACACTTTGGGAAATGATGGTGTCCTGTGACGGAAGATCTTCTTCATGGTGGTAATGGCAGTCGTTTGAGAAAAATGAATACCTAAGAAAATCCTCATCCTGAAGTAAAGTTGAGAACACCTTTGGCACCACTGCTGTGCCCAGCTCTTTCTTTTTTATTTATTTATTTATGTGATTTTTTTTTTGTTTTTGTTTTTTTGGTGTAGAGACAAAGTCTCACTATGTTTCCCCTGCTGGACTCGAACTACTGGGCTCAAGCCATCCTTCCACCTCGGTCCCTCTTTCTTTCTTTCTTTCTTTCTTTCTTTCTTTCTTTCTTCCTTCCTTCCTTCCTTCCTTCCTTCCTTCCTTCCTTCCTTCCTTCCTTCCTTCCTTCCTTCCTTCCTTCCTTCCTTCCTTCCTTCCTTTCTTTCTTTCTTTGTCAGAGTCTCACTCTGTTGCCCAGGCTTAGTGCAGTGGCATGCTCATGGCCACCTCAGTGTTGACCTGTTGGGCTCAGGTGATCCTTCTGCCTCAGCCTTCCAAGTAGCTGGAACTACAAGCGTGTGCCACCACACCTGGCTAATTTTTTGATTGATTGTAGAGACGAGGTCTCACCAAGTTGCTCAGGCTGTTCTCGAACCGTGGACTCAGAAAATCCACTCACCTCGGCCTCTCAAAGTGCTGGGATGACAGGCTTGAGCCACCATGCCCAGCCTGCTCGTTCTTTTTTTAAGTAATATAAGTTGAGGTGAAAACCATACAACTTGAAACTAACCATTAGCCATTTTAAAATGTACAATTCAGTGGCATTTAGCACATTTTCAATGTTGTGCAACCAGCACCTCTGTCTAGATCCAAGACATTTTCCTCATTCCCGTGCCCATTATCACTCCCTCTCCACCTCCCCATCCTTCGGCCCTGGCAACTGCTAGTCAGCTTCCTGTCTCTAGGAATTTGCATAATCTGGATACTTCCTACAATGCGTGACTTTTTGTGTCTAGCTTCTTTCACTCTGCTTGTTTGGGAGGTTCATTCACTTTGTAACATGTATTTACCAATACTCCATTCCTTGTTATGGCTGGGTAATATTCTGTTGCATGGATACATCACATTTCATTTAGCCATCCCTCTGTTGATGAACACTTGGGCTGTTTTCACCTTTTGGTTAGTGTGCATGGTACTGCTCCTCATGTACAAGTTTTTGCCTAAATACTTGTCTTCATTTCTCTTGGGCTGTGCCTAAGAGCAGAATTGCTGGGTCCTATGGTGAGCCTATGTTTAACTTTTTGAGAGCCCCCAAACTTTATATTCCCACCAGCAATGCACGAGGCCTCTAACTTCTCCAAATCCTTGCCAACACTTATTATTTTCTCACTTCCCACACCCTTTGTTATGACCAACCTAGTGAGATGAAGCGGTATCTTGTCATAGTCCCCATAGTCTGTTTCTCGAGAACCCTTCCTATTTACAGCTTCTCTTTTCTCAGAAGCCTGTCATCTTTTCACCCTGGCAGATTTCCACCTCCTTCCCCTCTGTCATCTTCTCTCCTGCCTCTCTCCAGTGCCAGAGAGTTCTACCTCTTCCTCTCCCTTTGTTTCTCTCCTTTAAGGTGTGTGCCGTCCAGGTGAAAAACACTGGTAAGATGTATGCCTGTAAGAAACTGGACAAGAAGCGGCTGAAGAAGAAAAGTGGCGAGAAGATGGCTCTCTTGGAAAAGGAGATTTTGGAGAAGGTCAACAGCCCTTTCATCGTCTCTCTGGCCTATGCCTTTGAGAGCAAGTCCCACCTCTGCCTGGTCATGAGCCTGATGAACGGAGGAGATCTCAAATTCCACATCTACAACGTGGGTGAGCACGGCCTGGACATGAGCCGGGTGATCTTCTACTCAGCACAGATAGCCTGCGGAATGTTGCACCTCCATGACCTCCACATCGTCTACCGGGACATGAAGCCTGAGAATGTGCTTCTGGATGACCTGGGCAACTGCAGGCTCTCTGATCTGGGGCTGGCTGTGGATGTCCAGGATGGCAAGCCCATCACCCAGAGGGTGAGTGGCTCTCCGCCTGTCCCAGAGTGTGGGGCACAGAGTCGGAGAGGAGGGGAGGGGTCTGTTCTAGTCTCAAGGCAAACGGAGCCTTGAACTCAATTCTTCTGATTTTCTTTTTCCTAAAGCCCTTATGTTATCATCTTGCCTCAAGTGGAATGGTGTAAGAGGATTAGCTTAATTGGCTCTCTGGGGGCCACTTTGCAGTCTTCTCACAGGGAATGGGGGAGACTTATTTGTGAGGTGGGGATGGTCTGTGCCTTCATGCTGAGATGGAAAGAGCTGAATCCACAGTCAGGGTCTAGGTGTGTTTCAAAACAATCACCTCCACGGTGCCATGTTCCTGAACCAATAGAGCCTTGGCTCTCTCTTCTGGAAAATGAGGGGGCTGGGCCCTAAAATTTCACGACCCTGGAAGGTAAAATGTAACGGGATAAGAAAAAGAAGGATCTCCAAACATTACAAGTAAAATATTTCCTTTCCTGAGTATGGAATGGAAAAATGTTTTATATCAGATGAAGGTAAAATTTTAAATGAAAATATATAGAAGAAATCAAAGGCAAATGATATTTGTTTTGATCAATTTGGTTCAAAGTGACTTGCTGAAAATTATCTGGTTAAAAGGAGGATTACCGTTAAGCACTTATAATTACAATTATTCACTTGTGTTACATGACTATTATAAAATCTCTGGAATTCTAAATGTCCTTACCACTGAATTTCTGTGCACAATGGAAGACAAGGGCCCAAACCAGGTTCATAAGTGTTCTCTTAAAACTTAATTTTTAAGCTTGCAAGGCACAAAGGAACTGAGAAGAATCATGGCAAGTTTGGGAAACCGCTGATGATTTTGTGTGGCTGTAATGGAAGGGATGTTGACAAAAACGCATAGGGCTGGGCTCTTGCAAAGGGGTTGGAATGCCTTTTTGTGGGAGACGAGGGACCATTGAAGGGTTTAAGAAGGGGGATGGCATTATTCAATTTGCTTTTTTTTTTTTTGAGTCGTGGTCTCACTTTGTCACCCAGACTGGAGTACAGGGGCACGGTGACCATTCACCGCAATCTCGAGCTCTTAGGCTCAGGTGATCTTCCCTCTTCAGCCTCACAAGTAGCTGGGACTACAGACATGCATCACCATGCCCAGATAATTTTTAAATTTTTTGTAGACATAGGATCTCAATATGTTGCCCAGGCCAGTCTCAAACTCCTAGGCTCAAGCAATCCTCCCACCTCAGACTCCCAAAATGCTGGGCTTACAAGAGTGAGCCACCATGCCTGGCCTAGGTTTGCATTTTTGGAACAACAATTTGGAAGGTAGCTGGGCGACAGGAATGCTAGTTAGAAGGTAGTGGCCTTCTAAAAGGCAAAAGTTGGTGGGTGTCTGCACAGGACAGTGGGATTGAAGAAATAGGAGCAAATTGGAGCTCTTGGAAAGAGATCTGGTGAGACACTGGGACCAGCTGGGTATGGGAGCAAGGGAAGGTAAGGGTCTCTAACTCCAGTGACCAGAAGGAAGAGCAGAGTTGTAGGAAAGCTGGCAAGTCTAACTGTGATCACATCTGTGCGGCTCCTGTGTAAAGCAGGGCAGAGATGTTCCCTGGGCATTTCAACCTATAGGTCTGAGGCTAGGAAGGACGTGAGCTAGGCATGGGATTTGGAGTCATCATGGCTTGGGAGGCAAAGGGCACCACCGAGTCTCTTGGCAAAGAGTGGAGGAAGAGGACGAGGAACAGAAGTTGAAAAACACCAACATGTGGGAGATAGAGAAGAAAAGCAGCCCTGAAAAGGCTTAAGAAGTGGGAGGAGAGGCAAGAGTGATACCAGTCATGGCAGATGTATCAGTTAAGGATGGGTTTCAGCTGCAGGTTGTAGAAAACCCAAATCACGATGAATTAAACAAGACAGGGATTCGTTTTTCTTATAAAACAAGGTGTGGAAATAAGCAGTCGCTGGCATTAGTTTGGCAGCTGCAGGATGATGGGATCCACATCCCTACAATTTTGGGCTTTCCCACGTGTCACAAGATGGCTGCTGTAGCCCCAGCCGTGGACGACATTCCAGGCAGGAGAAAGGAGGAAGAGTTGGGCGTAAATGGGCATGCATGCAGCACTTGAGTTTGTCCCCCTTTAAGGAGCATTTCTTAAAGCCCCATCCTAAGCTTCTACTTAGATCTCCTTGGCTAGTACTGTTATCTGACCACCCCCTAGCTGCAAGGGAAGCTGATAAATGACATGATTGGGGGGGTGGAAGAAGGAGGGGGATCTAGCTAGAAAGAAGAAAGGCTGGATATTGAGCAGGTAACTAGCAGCCTCTGACACAGGAGCCAAAGGAGATGGTTTCAGAGAGGAGAGAGGGATCAGAAGGGCTGCAAAGAGGTAACGCCATCTGTGAGATGTGGCAGTCAGGAACCACAGTGTCCTCGGTTGGAGCAACTTTCAAGGACTGGGGGCTCTAAACTCAGACCGTGGCAGTTGGATTGATCTGGAAGTAGGGAGTGAGACTAATGAAAAGGGAGGCTGGTCCCTAGAGAGGGAAAACGGGTGGACGGGGGAGAGGAGGGGAGTGTGGGGCGTGGGAAATGGAGTGCCAAGGTCGGGGGAGTGGAGCAGATTTAGACGTGAAGCCAGGAGCCAGCAGAGAAGGAAGGAAAGAGAGTGAACCATGAAGGAGGATCTGAGAAAGAACTCAAGTAGCACCATCTCCTGAGTAGGCAGCGGGGGGCGGGGAGCAGGGTGTTTGCCTCCTTGGGATCTTTCCATAGAAACAGGAACGCTACAAATCCGTCATCATGGTTTTGCATTTGTCCTGGCCATTGTGCAGAGTGGAAATATTTCTTCTGCGGGTCCCATGTATTGTACCATGCAGATTGTTGATAGTTCCACCCTGCTAGAGGCTTAGGGGACACACACAGCTCTCTCTCTCTAGTCTTCCTTCTCAGTCTTCCTCTGGCTTTTTCATGGGCAATGAGAATCTTCCTTCTCTCTCTCTCTCTGTCTCTCTCTCTCTCTCTTTCTTGAGATGAGGTCTCGCGATATTGCCCAAACTGGTCTTGAACTCCCTGTGCTCAAATGCTCCTCCAGGGGAAGGGAGATGGGATTAACGGTAGTCAATATCTGTCTGGGGACGGGGAGACACCTCTTATCAACAAGGGTGCCTGAACGGAGCATATTTGTATACCTAACCCTTAACTGTACCCCACAATATCATTTTTAAAAATTAATTAAAATTAAAAAAAAAAAAAAGCAAATGCTCCTCCAAACTCAGCCTCCCAAAGTGCTGGGATTACAGGTGTGAGCCACTGTGCCTGGGTGGCCACGAGGAGTTCTAAGAACAGTCCCTTCAGGGGCTCCTGCGGGCAGCTCTCTGGCTCTTTTGGAACTTTCTGGAAGATTTCTGTGCCTCCTTGATGTTGTCTGCTATAAGGAGTGTACTTAGTGGAGAGGTTGACTGCCTGTGGACCTTTGGCCCTTTTACCTCTGTGTCCTTTTCTGTCCTGGGAGACCAAACTTCAGGGTTTAAACCACTCACCCTGTCCAAGAAGTTTTATGCCCCAGTTCCCAGGCCTGCCACACAAACCCAGGGGACCATCAGGAAGGGTGGGGGAGAGAAATGGCAAGATTAGAAGCTATGAAAAAGAAAGAGAGGAGAAAAGAAAGCCTCCCTCTTCACTGCTTACCCCTCTACATAGCTAACTAAACCCCTTAGTTCCCTGTTTACTGCTGCTCCCACACATAACATTGGGCTCCCACGTCAATATTAAGGTCATTATGGGCTGGACACGGTGGCTCATGCTGGTAATCCCAGCACTTTGGGAGACTAGAGTAAGAGGATTGCCTGAGCCCAGGAGTTCGAGACCAGCCTGGGCAACAGAGAGACCTAATTTCTACCCCCCAAAATTATTTATATAAAAAAATAATGAATAAAAAGGCCATTATATTCACAAAAGAAAAAAGTAAAAAGTGACATATTTACAGGGCTTCTGTAACCATTAACATCCAGTTGTGATGTCAAGATATGATTGAAAAGAATTACTGTGAACGTTAGGGAGAAGGTGCTGTGGTTTGAATGTGTCTCCCAAATTTCCTGTGTTGGAAATTTAATCTCCAACGTGGCAGTATTGAGAGGTGAGACCTCTCAGAGGTGATTGGGTCATGAGATCTCTGTCATTATGGATGGATTAATGGGTTAATAGATGAACGGGCTATCGTGGGAGTGGAACTGATGGCTTTTTGAGAGAGACCTGAGCTAGTCCGTTAGCATACTCAACCCCTCTCCATGCGATGCTTTGCACTGCCTCCAAACTTTCTAGACAGTCCCCACCAGCAAGAAAGTTCTTACCAGATACAGCCCTTCAACCTGGAACTTCTCTGCCTCCATAATTTTAAAAAATAAATTCCTTTCCTTATAAAATAGCCAGTTTCAGGTATTCTGTTATAAGCATCAGAAAACAAACTAACACAGGGTAAAAGGGGAAAAAAATCACCCTGATTACAGAGGATGATATCTGTATTGACTCTAAGCAGTTCTTCCAGAAAAATCAAAGACTTTTTGGACATCTTGTTATTGTCTTCTCATTCAGCAACTCATTTGGTCTTGTAGAAGTTGGAATTGCTTTCTGCTACATATAACAGAATACCGGAATCTGGTATGGATTTGACTGTTCAACAATTTTGGGGGCAAAAATCTCTGTAAAGTCTCTTGGCCTTTTCCTCCTTGTCACAAGGTGGCTGTTGCAACTCCAAACATTGAGTCCACATTCTAGGACAGAGAAAAGGGGAGAAAGGAGCAACATCTACAGACTTCTGCTTATAGCTCATTAGCCAGAACCATGTCACACATTCACCTCCAGCTTCAAAGGCAGCTGAAGAATAGAAAAAAAATCTTTCAATTTTCCAGTATCTGCCATACCAGCTTCCAGGAAAAACATATTGATGAGGATTAACAAATCTGATTTAGTTTCTTTACTCACACAAACATTAAAACTAGAGAATAATTGTTATAAT